AGTGGAACGTCACACGGATTCTGGGCAATTGTGGAGTGGTTTATATTGAGTGGAACGACACACAGATTCTAGACATTGGTGGAATGGGATATATTGAGTGGAATGTCACACAGATTCCATGCATTGGTCGAGTGGAAAATATTAAGTGGAACGTCACACGGATTCTAGGCAATTGTGGAGTGGTTTATATTGAGTGGAACGACACAGATTCTAGGCATTGGTGGAGTGGGATATATTGAGTGGAATGTCACACATATTCTAGGCATTGGTGGAGTGAGATATATTGAGTGGAATGTCATTCAGATTCTAGGCATTGGTGGAGGGGGATATATTGAGTGGTATGTCACCCAGATTCTAGGCATTGGTGGAGTGGGATATATTGAGTGGAATGTCACACAGATTCTAGGCATTGGTGGAGGGCGATATATTGAGTGAAATGCCACACAGATTCTAGGCATTGGTCAATTGGAATATATTGAATGGAATGTCACACAGATTCCATGCATTGGTCGAGTGGGATATATTGAGTGGAACGTCACACAGATTCTAGGCAATTATGGAGTGGTTTCTATTGAGTGGAACGTCACACGGATTCTCTGCATTTGTGGATGGGTATTTATTGAGTGGAATATCACGCAGATTCTTGCCATTGGTGGAGTAGAATATATTGAGTGGAATGCCACACAGATTCTAGGCATTGGTCAATTGGAATATACTAAGTGGAATGTCACAGATTCTAGGCATTGGTGGAGTGGGATATATTGAGTGGAATGTCACACAGATTCTATGCATTGGTGGAGTGAGATATATTGAGTGGAAAGTCACTCAGATTCTAGGCATTGGTGGAGGGGGATATATTGAGTGAAATGCCACACAGATTCTAGGCATTGGTCAATTGGGATACATTAAGTGGATTGTCACACAGATTCCATGCATTGGTCGAGTGGAAAATATTGAGTGGAACGTCACACGGATTCTGGGCAATTGTGGAGTGGTTTATATTGAGTGGAACGACACACAGATTCTAGACATTGGTGGAATGGGATATATTGAGTGGAATGTCACACAGATTCCATGCATTGGTCGAGTGGAAAATATTGAGTGGAACGTCACACGGATTCTGGGCAATTGTGGAGTGG